GTTAAAGATTACCAATACCTTTTCCATGTTTGGATGGTTAGAACTGTAAATAATATTTTCAATAAGTTTTTATGGTTTATTAGTATATGTCTTGTTCTCAAGTGGTCATGGTTACTTGTGATTATTATCTCCTCTCAAAGCAATGCTACAGATTTATCACAGAACTGTGAATAGGTATTGCTTTTATGCTGCGATTTACCCCCAGCCCAGGGCACATGGTAAAGATAGAGCAACTCACTAAAAACACTCTCACATAACAGTGGAAGATATATCTATCCCAGCAGATTTATAAATCACAACACAGAAATAAAGGAATGTAAGATGCCTCCATAAGTTCATAATCCTCTAATACCTGAACCAAAGATAACTAAGTTGAGGAAATGACAGAAATATAATTCAAAAAATTGATTATTAAATTATCAAACTGAGAGAAGATATAGGACCTAAAGGAGCATTTCAATAAAGAGCTATAGAATCTTAAAAGGAACCAAAGAATCTTAGAAATAAAAAACTAAATCAAATAAAATTCTTAGTGGATAATCTTGTCAATAGACTAGATCAAACAGAATAAATAATATCAAAGCTTGAAGACAGAGTGGATAAATAAGAACATTCATTAAGTAATAATAAAAACCTAAAGTATAAACATAACATACAAGAGCTCTGTGACATCATCAAAAGGCTAAACTTAAGATATTCATAAGTCCTGAGAAAGGACAAAAGGTAAAGATGAATGATGTAGAAAACTTATTCAATAAAGTAATATCAGAAAATTTCCAAAAATCTTGGGAAAGAGATAGACAAATTTATATACTAGAGTCATTTAAAACCCAAATTAGACAAGGCTGGAAAAGAATTTCTCCATGACATATTATATTTAAAGTGCCAAAACTTATCATAAAAAATAATTTTAAGAGGGGCAAAGAGATGTGGCAAGTCACTAATAAAGGCAAGTTCATCAGAATAGTAGCATATTTCACAGCAGAAGCTAAAGGACAAGAGGGTATGGAATGACATATTTCAAGCCTCCAAAGAACATAACTGTCCATCTAAATTACTATATCCAGTAAACTATGCTTATGCAAGATAAGCATAAACTAAACTAATTTGTGACCACTAATTCAGCATTTCAAAAGATACTTAAATGAATCCTAACACATAGAAGAGGAAGATAAAAATAACCAAGAAATCAAGAGAAAATAATAATAAATCTCATTAGAATAATAGGTAAACAAATGAAAATTAGGACTGATTCAAAAGCAAACTAACACAAAATGACTGGAAGTAGCACATACATTTCTATAAGTGCAAATTATCTTAATTCTCCAATTAAAAGGCATAGACTGGAATATTCTATTAAGAAGCAAGACCCAACCATATGTTGTCTCCAAGAAACACAACTCACAGGCAAAGACATTCAGAGACTGAAAAGTGAAAGGATGGAAAATCATATTTTATATATACTGAATACAGAAGCAAGCAGGAGTAGCTACTCTCATATAAGACAAAACAGACTTCATGACAATTAGTCAGGATACAAAGAATGTCACTAGGAATTCATAAAAGTAACAATCCAACAAGAAGATATAATGAATTTAAATATTTTTGCAAACAAATGTCAGTGTAACCAATTTCATTAAACAAACATTACTTGACATAAAGGAACTGACAGTTTACATTATAATAATAATGAAGAACTTTAATACACCATTCTAAATAACAGAGCTCATTCTGACACAAATAAAGATGTGTCATTTAAACTATAACATAAGTCAATTTGATTTAACAGAAATCTACAGAATATTTCATTAAAAATCTCAATATACTTTCTTTTCAGCTGCTTATAGAACTTCTCCCAAACTCATCACATATTAGTCCAAAAAGCAAATCTTAGCAATTTCAAAAGAAGTTAATCTCTTTAATCTTTTCAGATCAGAATGAAATTAAATTAGAAATCATGTAAGAAAAAAAACACACAAATTATACAAGTATATGGAGTGTGAACAATGTACTTTTGAATGATTAGTAGATATTGAAAAATTGTGGAGGTGGATTTACACATTTTTAGATTCAAAGGTGGAAACACAACATACCAGAATTTGTCAGATTCAGCAAAGGCAATTTAAAGAGGGAAGTTTATAGCTATGATTACCTACATAATAAAGCAGAGAATTTTCAAATAAACCTCTCAATGATGCATCTCAAGATCATACAAACCCAAGAATTATCCAATCTAAGAAGTAGGAAGAGGAAAGAAATTATAAAGATTAGAGCTGAAATTAATGAGATAGAAGTCATAAAACAATATAAATGACCAATGAAACAAAGAAATGTTTTTTGAAAAAAATAAACAACATTGATAAACTTTTAGACAAACTAACCAAGAGAAAAAGATACTTGCAAAGCAAATTCACACATTACAAAGTACATACTCTTTGATCAAGTTGGTTTCATTCTATAAACCCAAGGAGATTCCGCATATAGATATCAATAACTGTCATGCAGCACACAAAATCAAGGGTGGAAAGCCCATACAATCATCTCAATAGATGCATAAAAAACATTTTATAAAATTTAACATCCCTTATTGATAAAATCCCTGAAGATAATAGGTACAAAATGACATTTCCTCAACATAATGAAGCTTATATATGACAAACTTAAAGCTAACATGATGCTGAGTGGAAAAAAACTGAAAGCATCTCCTAAAAAAAAGAACAGCAATAAGATAAGGATGTCTACTCTCACCACTCTTATTTGATATATTACTTGAAATTTGAGCTAGAGCAATTAGGCAAAATAAAGAAATAAAATGGATATGATAGTAAACAAAGAAGTCAAATTATCCCTATTTCGGATACAATTGTATACTTGGAAGAACCTAAAGACTTCTAAAACTGATCAACAAAATATGTCAGAAGATAAAAGCAATGAACAAAAAATCAATTGCTTTTCTTTATTCATTTCCTTTTTATTTGTTCTTTTAGATATACATTACAATAGAATGCATTTTGACACATTATACATACATGGGATATAACTTATTCTACTTAGGATTCAATTCTTGTGGTTGTACATGAATGTGGAGTTTCACTGGTCATATATTATGTGAACATAGGAAAGTTATGTCCAACTCATTCTACTTGCTTTTCTGTACACCGATAATGATTCTTCTGAGGAAAAAGAAATAGAAAGCAATTTCATCTTCAATAGCTTAAAAATACCTAGGAATAAATCTAACCCATTATGTGAAAAACCTCTACATAAAATATTTGAGAATGAAAAAATTAAAGCAGGCATTAAAAGATAGAAAGCATCCTATATTCTAGAAAGGTAGAATTATTGATTAAATAGCCGAATTACCAAAAGTTATCTACAGATTCAATTCAATCCTCACCAAAATACCAATGTTGTTCTTCATAGAATTATAAAAACAATCTTAAAATTCAAATGGTAGAAAAGACCCAGAATAGCCAAAGCAATCCTGAGCAAAAAGAGTAAAAGCTAAAGGCATCACAATATAAATAATATCACAATAAAAATATATATACATACATATATGTATATCCATAAACATATATATATATACATATCCCAACATATTGCCAAGTATATATATATCATACAATCAATAAATGGGCAAACTGACTGAATTTGAGACACTTTTCCAAAGAAAAAGTACAAATACCCAACAACTATATGAAAAAATGTTCAACATCTTTGGCCATCAGAAAATTGTGAATCAAAAGTACACTGAAATTCCATCTTACTCCAGGAAGAATACTGATTATTAAGAATACAAATAATAAATGATGAGGATTCAGAGGAAAAGGAACTCATACACTTTGTGCAGAAATATAAATTAGTATAGCCACTATGGAAATCAATATGATGTTTCCTCAAAAAATTAAAAATAGAACTACAATATTATCCAGCTATACCACCACTTGGTATTTATCAAAAACTCAGCATTCTTTAGAGATAAATGAATACTCATGCTTAGAGGAGCAATATTCATAAAAGTCAATTTATGGGTGTCTGTCAACAGATTAATGGATAAAATATGAGACACACACACACACACACACATACACACTTCATTATGTTTTATCAGACATAATGAAGGACTAAATTATGTCATTCAGGAAAATGAATGAAACTAGAGAGCATCATGTTACACAAAATAAGCCAGATTCAGAAAGGTGGGTGGGGGTACCATTTATTTTCTCTCATATATGGAAGCTGGTGAAATGAAAGATGGGGGGACTTGAAATTCATGAAAGTAGAAGGGACATCAAAAGTTAAAAGGCAGTACTGGGGAATGAACTTGATCAAATTATGTGCATGTACCAATATGCCACAGTGAACCTCACCAATCTGTAATAATTAATATATACCAATTAAAAGAATGGAAAAAAATAAGTTTGTAGACATGTTTTCTTTTTAAAAACAGTTCAAAGATTTTTATTTTGGTGACCTCAAATTACTACACTAATCTATGGTTTCTGCAATGTTGGTTTTAATAGAAAATGTTCTAATCTTTTATATTGTAACTTCAAGAATTTTTTTCTTATCTTTTTGTTTCCTGTAAGGTGGTGATAAACCAGAAAATTTATTAAGATAAGAACATATACATATTTTTAATTTTTAGACTAAGATAATAATTTATTTAAAGCACATAATATTATAAATATAAAGATGTGTATCATTGTTATGAATATAGAAATAAAATGTATTTTAATACACATTATTTCATTTAATCTTTGCAACAGCACTGAAATGTACATCTAAAAAACTTGGTCAACATGTATTTATTTTTCCTAATCATGTATATGTTGTATAATGTTCAAATCACAAGAAGCATTAATATCTCTTCAAACATTTATCATTTTTGTAGTAAACATTCAAAATAAGTTCTTCTGTCTTTTTTGAAATGTATAGCACATTATCCTTATTTATAGTCTCCCTCATGTGACTTACATTTTGATCAAATTGTAACAATGCCCATGAACAAACCTTCCCCAATGTCTCCCTCCCCAGCCTCTGGTAACCACTTTTTGAAAAAATGACCATTTTCTTTATTGTTTCTTTTTGATTGTACATAATGATAGGATTCATCTTGAAAAAATTTAAAACCATGGAATATAATTTGTTCAAATGCAATCTGCAGTATTTTCTTTCTCTTCCTTCCTTCCTCTCCCTGTTCCCTTTCCTCTCTTTATTCTGCTAATTCTTTCTGCCATTTACTTTAATTTTTTTCTTTTTGGTTAGAGTCTTGTGGATATAAATGATGGTGAGATTCACTGTGATATATTCATGTATACAGTTAGAAAACTTAGGTTAGATTAGTTCCTCTTCTTATTCTTCTATGATCTCCAGTAATGGGAGTGCACACTTTTAATCCAAGAAACTTGGGAGGCTAAGGCAGGAGGATCACAAAGGCCAGTTTGGAAAACTTAGCAAGACCCTGTCTCAAAATAAAATAAATAAAAATGGCTGAGGATGTATCACAGTGGTAGAGAGGCTGAGTTCAATCCTAATACAGAAGAAAAAAGAAGGAAGAAGAAGAAGAAGAAGAAGAAGAAGAAGAAGAAGAGGAGGAGGAGGAGGAGGAGGAGGAGGAGGAGAGCAAAATATACATCTAGTTGATACTAAAACTAGTAGAGAATGATGATAAAATGACTTAACCCTTCATCATTATTATTTTTAGTGGATATAAAGATAGATACAACTAGTTTATAATCACTCTATTTATGATTATTTTGTCTGTCACAAGTGCATTTAGAGCACAAACAAAATTATATTTTAGAAATGTATTAATAATTTAATGGTTTAAGGAAATAAGATTAGCAATGCTCCAGTATTTAAAATTATCCTCAAAAATTCATGATATAATCCAGGCATAGTGGAACACACCTGCTATTCCAGTGGTTAAGGAGGCTGAAAGCAGGAGGATCAAAAGTTTAAAGCCAGCCTCAGCAACTTAGTGAAACCCTAAGTAACTTAGTGAGTCCCTATCTCAAAAAAAAGAGCTGGGGGTGTGACTCAGTGGTTAAGCAGCCCTGGGTTCATTCCCTGATACAAAAAAAAAATTATAATATAAACACATAATAATTTGGGGATTAAATAGTCAATACCTAATATAGCATTCCTTTCCATACACAAAATAACTTTTAATATTTAAAATATACATCGATCAATCACACATTGGCTCTTGAGACTGTTTATCCCCCAAGGGTGAGAAAAATCTAAATTGATTTGGTCATCTTGAGTAAGTGACAATAGAATAGAAGGGATTAAAGGAAGTAAGATGCCCATCATGTAGGGGAAATGGAGTGTACTAAGAAGGTCATCTGTTTTTTCATTCTCCCTTCAGTGAGTGGTACGGGGGACAAAAAAGAGTTTAAACTGTACCCTGTTTCAACATTTTATTCCAGTCAGGGACTAAATATCAACTTTGCGAGTTTCTGAGTCTCTAGATTGAAAGAGCGTCTGTTACAGCCAAGTTGCACCAAAAAGGGAAAACAACATATGAAACAACAACAGATTTCTAAAAAAATCAACCGATTCCTTTGAGGATTTGCTGTTACCCTTTCAATTATTTTTGACAGCATGTAGCCAAGGATACTTGGAGAAGCAGGTGGTAACACTTTTGGATATCTTGCTGGTAATTGCCAAGACAGTTGAGAGAGTTCCATTATAAAAAGAATATAGACAATAAGAGAAATAAAATTAAACATGCAATGAGGAAGAATTTTTCAGAATTGAAAGATAAGAATCATCCAATTCAAGAAGCCTCATAAAGATTAACCAGAAAAAGAAGGGTACATTCATATACAGATTTATTATAGTTAAAGTACAACAAATATTAAAAGAAGTCTGAGAGAAAGGTTTAAAATGGACAAAGTAAGAGAATGAAAGAAAGAAGAAACAACAATTAAACTTTTTTCTTAACAAAAATATAAACTTTAGCAGTAATAAAAACCATATTTTTATATTTCTTAAGATAAACAATTTGAAGAATTTCTCTCCAGTCTAGTGTGAAATGAAGATGTCTTCAGGGCAAATGAAAGAATTTACCCTTAGTAGATTGTGTGTGTGTGTGTGTGTGTGTGTGTGTGTGTAGAGAGAGAGAGAGAATATAATGATTTAAATAGAAGGTGTGTCCTAACTCATGCTCTCACCTTTTGGTTATTGTTTCCCTTCCCAGAACAATTTATGGTGAAAGGCATAAAGGGGCCAATCCTGGCTCCATTTGGTGGAGAAGTTGAGCTCAGCTGCCAGTTGTCTCCACCACAGAGTGCACAACACATGGAGATCCGCTGGTTCCGCAACCGCTACACACAACCCATTTACCTGTACAAGGAGGGTAAAGATCGGTATGGAGAAATGACCCCTATGTATGTGGAGCGAACAGAACTCCTGAAAGATGCCATTGGAGAAGGTAAAGTGACCCTCAGGATCTTTAATGTTGGTGTTGATGATGATGGGCAGTACCACTGCTTCTTCAGAGATGGAGATTTCTCTGAAGAGGACGTCACAGAAGTGAAGGTCACAGGTGAGATGGATCCTCTGAAGTTTCTCTGCATCTGTGATTCTCAACCCATCTGTGGCTCCGCATTAGAAAAACTCTCAGTGTTTCAGACTATTTCCTTATTATATAATTTCATTAGCAAGTTTAAATTTGTGCATTTAGTTTTTGAACCGGAAAGAGTTCAGGATCAAGAATGAAAATTGTTTCTGTGCAGATAACAACTCTACCAGCAAATCCCTTCTTTTTATGCCTACATACATTATTAGATTTCTAAAAAATCAAGAATTCATTTTAGGATTTGCTGTAACCCTTTCAATTATTTTTGACAGCACTACTAAAAATGTGATTTTACAAGCAACCTATATCTTTACAATAACCTCCTTAATGATAATTCTTATTCTCACTTCTCTAACTTGTTTACTGTTAAACAAGTTAGTGCCAGATTAATTTTCCTAAATCTTTTTCAGAAAGTCTTTATCTATAATCTCCAGTGTCCTCAGTTATATATGCCATAAAAATGGTATATGCACATATAAAGCATTTAAATCAAGCTCCTCACCCTTTAAATTATTCTGAATGACAGAGAAATGCAGAGAAGATGGAGAATTTCAAGCAAACTGAAAGATTCCACAAAAGTGAGCACTAAAATGTAGGTCTCTAGGGCCACTAACATTTAACATCCTTATCAGACATTATATGACACCCAACTCTGTATTCTAGATCTGAGATATCCAATACTATATGGCCATTTAAAAATTTATATTTAAATTAATTAAAATTAAATAAATAAAATTAAACATCCAATTCTGAAATCTCACTGACCCCATTTCAGGTACTTAACAATTTCCTATAGCACATAGCTACCCTATTAGCATAGATATAGATTATATTTATTATTGCAGAAAGTTTTATTAGACCAGTTTTGGGGTTACACTTTAAATCTCTACTCATTCTTTCTTTTCCCACACATTAGACTAGTTTTATGCCCCAGACAATATGTTAAAATTTTTCAGAAGTTTATTTTCTCTAATGAATATATATTTTAATGATACCAGTATATTACCTATTTATGCAAAGCTTATCATATGAAAATGCCTATTATATACAAAGAACATATAGAGTCTCAATTTAAGTTGCAAACTTGGGTTAATAATGTTATCGACTATTTATCATTTATCATGGTGGCTCAAAAGTGACTAGCTCTAAAATAATTAAGTCATAATATATATGAGTTCTATAGATATTGATTGTTTTTTATTCATTATTGTAATACAAGGATTTATGTAAGATCTAAGATATAGTAAATAACCAATAAACATTTTTGAATGAAAGAATAAATAAATGAAACAAATAAGTATTTCCTCACCTGACTTATATGGGACAAGATAATCTTATATGTTATAACCCTTCTGCCTGGCTCATATTCCTTCCCTTTTAATTATCATCTTATGGTATTTAAAGCCCCATAGAGTTTTGACTAACAATGTATCAAGGACACTGATATTGAATTGAGGGAGACAGGTTTTATTTCTGTTTTGTGTCTTCTTCCCTTAATCTCAAAGTACTGTTTCCCCTTTGTATCCACTCAGCTACAAGCTCAGACACACAGATTCTAGTGCTTCCTTCCAATATTGATGATCTTAGAGTGGAATGTAATTCAGGAGGTTGGTTCCCACAGCCTCAAATGGAATGGAGAGACAGCCAGGGAAAGGTCCTCCCACCTGCATCAAAATCTCACTCACAGGACACGGATAAATTGTTCAACATGAAGATGACCCTTTTTCTCAGCAATACTCACCCTGGGGATGTCACTTGCTACCTCAGAAACCCTCTAACTGGCCAAGAGGAAAAGACAAACATTGTTTTACCAGGTGAGATCTGTGTGTTTGTTCTCCACATGACAGCCATTGTTACATAATGTATAAACAGAACCAAAAAATTAAAATGATAGCCCTTGTCACACAATCTGTAAAAAAAAAAAAAATAGAAAAATTCAATTGCTTTCTTCACTTGATTTCCCATAAGACATTACTTTCTCTTGGATTTATTAATCATCTTGCTTGTTCTTTCTTATTCTCTTTGCCACGTTCATTATTTTTTACTGTTTTCTTGATATTGGAATTCCCAGGGCATAGTTTTTTTAGTCTTTACTCTCTCATGAGTTTATTCTACCTTTAAATACCAATAATATGATGATGGCTTCTCAAATCACATCTTCTGGCCAGACCTCTCTCCCACTCTGTTCTCATCTCCAACTCAGCATCTCAACATAGGAGTCTAGTAAGTATCTGAAGTTAAGTATATAAAAAAATGAAACAACTGATTTAGTTACTGCCTTCCCAATCACACTTCATAGTTTCAATTTCTCAGAACACTCTTAAACTCATCCTTGGCTATATTTTTCTCATATTCTATATAATATCTATCAATAAATAATGCTATATCTACCTCTAAAATACATCCAGAGTCTCATCACTTCTTTTTTTTAATTGGTTGTTCAAAACATTACAAAGCTCATGACATATCATCTTTCATACATTTGATTCAAGTGAGTTATGAACTCCCATTTTTAC